CCCCCCCCCCAATCGCATCGATCACGTGCACTTGTTTAGGTTTCGTTGGACGGACTCTAGCTTGCCGTAAGTGGGCGATACCGCCCCCTGGTGGGCGCTAGGAAGATTCAGAAGGGATGATAGTAGCCACAGGTGCAACTGGGGGGCGTTGAATAAAAATATGAGGGGCGATGAGAAAACAAAGAAAGAGGGGAAGATGAGCAAACGAATGTTTCACCTTGTGTGAAAATAAAATGAAAATGACAAATGTGTCTTATTTGCAAGGATCTTTTTCTTACTACATTGGGGAACGCAGACACACATAGACATATAAAATAAATTTGTCACATTGCAGTTTTCTTCTCTTAAAGAAGATATTGTAGATTTACAGAGGGAGGGAGGCTGAGTAATTTTTTATTCCAAACAGAGATGGTAGACTAAGTTTGAGACTTCAAACTGTGAAATATAATATTGAAAAGCTGGGAAATCACTACAGGAAATCTCAAGTGTTTACGAACGTCCTTGAAGGTTAGGACAAATCCGAGCAAACCCTAATAAGCGACGAATGGCAGACCTAATAAAAGCAGAAATTGTCACCATCGCTCCATCTTTTAATTAATTTAATCGAACCTTGTCGTTTCTCTAAACGCTCACTTAAATGGCCTAAATACTTCTGTATTTTTGCGATGAATTTCTAGAAACGGAAACGGGGATTTGAATCACTTTGGAGGACAGGCGGGATGATATTGATTTCTCCAGCGACGAGAGAGTAAAAACTCGTTAATCGGAAGCAATCGGGACGATTCATCAACCAGGTAGTAACTAGAAATAACGGGATTTCCGGCGATGGGAAAATACTGCAGGTCGTTGGAAGGTTAAACGTCGATCGATCGGGAACATTCTCGGTCCCCTTAGACAAGCTTCTTTCGAAAAAGCAATTTAATAAGTCGACGATTGTATAATGGCGCTTTATAAACATAACGAACGTGCGTCAAAGAACAAAGTCGTAATAGACTTATTGTTCAATCGCATTGAAAAAAAGTCGAGACCTAGTTTTCTCACGATAGTTCCGCTAGAACAAATGACAATTTACACTGACAAAATCTGTCTCCATGAATAGCTTGTACTACATACAACAGTAACGTGTATGGTAGCAATTTCCGATAATACGTAAGTTACGTAATAATAACACGAGTAATATAAAATTTCGAGAATCAAAAAAAAAAAAAAAAAAAAGATATTGACAAATGTGGATTTTTTTTTTCTTTTGCATCTCACCATGCATTTTAGAGAATATAAAATATTTTCAATAGTTGTCTGAAAAGACAAATATTCTTTCCTAATGTCCCCAATGGATATCATTCGATATTTACAATATTATAATATTATTATAAATATTATAAATTATATTATATATAATATTATATATTGTAAATTATTAATATTATATATTATGATATTATAATTATTATGATATTATATTATTATAAAATATAATATTATGATATTATAAATATTATATGATATTATAAATATTATAATATTATATTCTTTGTAATATTATGATATTATAAATATTATATTATGATATTATTATAAATATTATAATATTATGATATTATAAATATTATATTATTGAAAATGATATTATATTATAAAATATTATAAATATAAATTATTATATATTTATATTATAAATTAAAAATATAAATAAATATAACATAAATAAATATTATAAATTATTATATATTTATAATAATATTATGATATTACAAATATTATAAATTATGATATATTATAATATTATGATATTATAATTATTATATTATAATAAATTACGATATAATTATGATATATTATAATATTATTAATATTTATAATATTACTTACGAAATATAAGTTATTTTGTAATTTTGGATATTTTTTTGATTCTTGAATTTTGCTGTACTATTATCTTGTACTATTATCGTATAACATATACAGTGGAAATTGCTATTGTGCACATCTTTGTACTTGTGGTGAACTATTTTGCTATTTAGCAAAAACTTTTCGATGATAATCTAGACTCGGTGATTAATCCTTCTTTCAGTTCTGAGAGCCTAACCTGTCGAGAGCAGGTAGAAGACGTAATAAAAGGCAAGGCGAGGTAAGGTGAAACGTCTTACAAGCCAAATTGTCCACAAATATATATATATATATATACATATATAACATGTGGCATACATACATACATGATTCTGCATGCTAGTGCGAACGGAAGTACCTATCCACCGGTGATTTCTTGC